GTTAGAGGAAGCTCTGCTAAAAAGGCTTTAATGGAGGAAGCTCAACTAATTAACCAGGAATTATATTTTAGGGTCTTTAATTTTGAATTTATATTCTAGTGGGAAGGAGGAGTAGTTGGGCTGAGATGGCTAGCAAAACTTCTTTGGCTGCGTGGCAGGAAATATTTGGCACGGAATGGAAAAGGCCCAAGGGAATGAGGAAGCCTAGCTGGCAATATATTGGAATGAAAATTTCAAAAATAACCTTCCGTGGTTTGCGCAGGAGCCACGAAAAAATGCATTAAGTGGGTTAGGGAGGAGAATCTCTTTATATTGATTGTTTGATTGATTCCATGGGTAAATTGCAAGGTTGGTCACTAAATGTACTAAAAAGTTCACGTTTGGTCACTAAAAGTATTTTATTCCATTTGTGGTCACTGAAAGTGGTTAACGTTTCACCTTTGGTCACTCTCCGTTAATACCGTTAGTATTTTGCTGACGTGGCTAACAGAAATGCTGATTCACCCATTTTTAACACTCCACTGATGGGCGATCGGTTCGTCCATCGCGTAATCGTACGAACTAAAACTAAAATAAACTGAAATACTGATTTATTCTTCTTTGACTGAATAAAACGTAGAGACAAAGTACATATTTATAGGAATAATCCTACAAACCCTTTCCCTCTCGAACAAGGTAAACTAATCCTAGACCAACTCCTAAACAATAACTTCCTTAACAAGAAATAATAACCATAAAATATCCGAATAAACAAAGTAACAATAATAATAGAAAAACAGCTAATGGCCTAGACGCCCACAAAAAACGTGTACGCATCAAACCTCCCCCCTTCGAAGAACTTCGTCCCCGAAGTTCAGCCGACGTGTCAACCTGGATCGATGAAAAAGTTATTGACGATAGCGAATAAAACGGATGTCCGTTGATGCCACCCTCGTTTACGGAACTTCCAATTACGCTCTGGGACTTGAATGAATCCACCAACTCTTGGTTTCATGAAACGAATTTCCATAGCTTGCATGTCCCACAACTTGACACACTCCTCCACAGACACATAGCAAGACATGCTTCCTGACCAAGCAATATACCCATCCTCCAAAAAGCCACTCCTCATGTATTCATGCCGCAGGGGTATTGATAGCTTCTTCTTTGAATTTTCCAAGCCCATTCGGCGCCGCAGCAGCACCAACGAGATCGGCAGGCGAGGCGTCTAGCAACTTCAACAATGGCGGTGATGACAGGGCAACCAGAAACTTCTCGGCAGTGGCAGTTTCCAGTTGCTTTGAAGGCGGTAGTGCCCGAACAGAAGCCACGGCCGGCGTTGGCAGCGCAGTCGGTATGACATCCCGGGCAGCAGCTTAACGTCTTCAATCACGATCTTGTTGAAGCTTCTTGAACTCCGCAATCCTCTTGGTGGCCTCGCAAAAACCTCGCACGGTGACCCTTACGTCATTACACCAGAAACTCATAGCTGAATTTTCCCAATCCGTTGTTACCGTTGCCACTTATTTGAGCCACTCATGGCCGAGGACGAGATCAACCCCATGAATCGGAAGTTCGTACGAGTTTACTTCAAGCCATACACCTTGTACGTAAATTGGAACGGCCTCTTAAAAGCACTCACAAACCAAGAATTCTCCGTTTGCTGTCTTGACCTTGAACGGAGGAATTGGTGTATCGTGCAAGGCTAAAGCCTTTGCGACGTCGGGGTTTATGAAGTTGTGCGTCGAAAAACCATCGACTAGGGCGACCACGGGTTCTCGATGGATTGTCGTGTTGAGTCGGAGGGTTGCTGAGTTCCAATCTCCGGCAAGAGTAGAGAAAGAGACCTCGGCATTGATCTGCATAGGAGGTTTATCCGGTGGTTCGTGGATCTCGAATGGCGAAGCCACGGTTAGCTTCTTCGGTGGTGGTGCCTCGGTAGACGATCCGTCCACCTTGTCGCTGCGGATCGTGGTTTCGCACAGGACCTCTTCCCGACGTTGGTGGTTGAACGTCGACGATGTATGCCCTGGGAGCTGGTAAGAGCTCGGTTCCGTCGAACCAGGCTCTGATACCAATTGATGGGCGATCGGTTCGTCCATCGCGTAATCGTACGAACTAAAACTAAAATAAACTGAAATACTGATTTATTCTTCTTTGACTGAATAAAACGTATAGACAAAGTACATATTTATAGGAATAATCCTACAAACCCTTTCCCTCTCGAACAAGGTAAACTAATCCTAGACCAACTCCTAAACAATAACTTCCTTAACAAGAAATAATAACCATAAAATATCCGAATAAACAAAGTAACAATAATAATAATAGAAAAACAGCTAATGGCCTAGACGCCCATAGAAAACGTGTACGCATCATCCACATCATAAAACCTCACCCGCCACATCAGCATAACCCAACCCATAATTTGGCCTTTCCATCTCAACCCACGCAGCCCAAAAAAATCCAACCAACCTTTTACAAAAAAAAAAAATAAAATTAAGCCTTCTGTTGCAATCCCTAGCTCCCTCAATCCTCCAATCCACGAATCTCCATTGCACACACCAATCCCCCGAGCAGTTTCCTTCCCCTCCGATAAAGCATCGCAGCCCAAATCCCCTGAGCAGGTCAGGGTCGAGATACTGTCCAAATCCCTCCCCTACATCCACCGATTCGGAAGAAAAATAATCACCGTCAAGTACGGCGACATCGTCATGAATGAAACACATGAAAATTAAGGTCCTGGTGGTGGAGAAGTCGGCGATTGACTCGCCGGCTCTAGTTCTCGATCAAGAGGTGGTGGAGAAGGCCGAGGAATCGAAGGACGGGAGGAGCTCATTGCGCCGGAAGCGAAATTCCACCGATGATGGTTCATTGGGGTTGGAAAATGGTGAGTTCTCAATCTCTTAGCTCTGGAAATAGAATACCTGATATCCAAATTCAGAGCTTTCTCTCTAGCTTTCTGATGGTAACATCTAAATCACATCATCCCATATTGCTCTTCTTGTTCGTCCATTTCTAGGTTTGTTTGTGTTCAATGTTTGATTTGGGAAATGGGGTTGGTTCTTTCTCATGGTTGAGAGGCGATGGTTGATCACAGGGAAGGTTGAGCTACCACTCTAGGAGGTGCCAGTGTGGGCAGAGAAGGAAGAGGAGAACAGCATCATGGCAGGCGGTGGCAGCGGAGGATGGCAGGCGGTGGCAGTGGAGGATTGGGTCGAGCCAGGTTGGGTTAGGGGTTGAATAGGTTGGGGTATATAGAGGGTCTGACGTGGTGGGTAAAAAATGAGTGAATCAGCATTTCAGTTAGCCACGTAAGCAAAATACTGACGGTGTTAACGGAAAGTGACCAAACGTGAAACTTTTCACCATTTTCAGTGACTACGAATGAAGTAAAATACTTTTAGTGACCAAACGTGAATTTTTTAGTACTTCCAGTGACCAATCTTGCAATTTACCCCTTATTCCATGCAGAACTAGATTTTGGATAACTTAATTGTAGAAATGTTGTTACATAATAATTTTTTTTTTTCATTCTACAATACTTGAATTTCAACCCATCTTCTATAAAACTCTTCTAAGCCACACACACTAAGTAGCACCCCTAAACCAACTACATACTCATTCCAATGGCGGAGAATGTAACCAATGATTGTTTCTTGGAAGCCCGTAAAACAACTTATCCTTCAACGCAGTGCAGTCAAAATCGCGCTTTAAATCGTAAAAACTTATGTTTTTACGTATCTAGGTCACTAAAACGATTCAGATTCCACCTAAAATCGTTTTACTCACAAAATCGTTAAAATCGTATGTAAAACGGTAAAAGCGGTAAAATCGTACAAAAACTCGTTTTTACAACATTTCTATGTGATTCCATGCACTATCCAGAAAAGTAACATTTGCACCAAAGTGACGTGGTTTACTGTTATAAAATTTATATATTAAAAAAAAAATGGACATAAATTATTTTGTGTGAATTAACTCTTTTAATTGTTTCTTTCTAAACAATTTATTTGGTATTGATATGTGGGGAAAAAAATTATTTGGTATTGATGATTTCAATTTTTCTTATCTATTTTATTAAAACCGGCATAACTAGCACAATTGTACCACAGTTTTACAATTCCACTTGAAAAACCGAAACAACGGGACAAACTAGATTGACAACCTTATTCCGATCAGGGACCAGAGAAACTTTAACTGCTCTCACTCGTCATGCTGAGCACGAGGACACAGACAATATCAATCTCTGTCGCTTATACAGAACAGAGCCAAAAAGACCATAAGGTTCCTGTACCAAGAGATAGATACTGATGTTGATCAAGCAACGGCTGAACCAAATTCATCATCCATTCAACGAACAAATCCAATGTTCATTGGCCGTTATAGTAAAGCAACCACAACGGCCCATTCCTTTCAGTAATGTTAGAGGTCCTACACTATTTAAGTGCAATTCGAACGATAGTAGGGGCGTTCAAATGGTTATCATGGTTATTACCAAATTAAATAAGGCTAAATTTCATTAACTATGGAATACAATATCACAACCAAACCGTTCAAACTAATACAACAACCAAATTAACCAAACTAAGTTTAATCGATTTGGTTAATTGGTTAACCAGATTAACCAATATAAAATCACATTATCATTAGGTGATAAAAATTTCGGTTAATTTACCAATTCACAATTTATATAATGAATAAAACATAACAATCAACACTTGGTTATAGTTGACCTTTAACATAAATACATGCAACTAAGAAAATTATCCTACGGTTAGTATAGAAATATTCACCTAGTAAAAATTTATCACAATGGTATGGGTTAATGAATTGTTGTGTTTGTTTGAATTGACTTAGTCTTTTAGCAATTTTCATAGGCAGAAAAGGACATTGCTTACAAGTTTTCATCCAACATAATGTATGAGATTTATCTAAATTAGACGTTCATATGTTGTGGTCTACACTCTACATATACAAATATACATTATAAGAACAATATCAAACTTTATATTTTATGAGTCTAAAAGGGATAAACGTTTAACTCTTGAGTGGTTATTCAAAGTATTAAGTATGTGTATATACTATATAATAGATATATGACTAATCATTTATCTGGTTAATTTGGTTTGATTGGTTAGGAGTGTCTGAAACCAAACCACCTAAACCAAACAAGCTAAAAACTTTAACCAAATCAAACCAATCATCCAAATTAACCAAACCAAATTATCCAAATAGTACTGATTAAAACGGTTACCATGGTAACCACACCGTTTGAACTCTCGTAAACGAGAGAATGCTTGTTCCTTCCATGGTTGCAATATACAGGGCCAAAACAGCTTCGATTACGTTTTTGGCTTTCCTGAATCTTTCAGCCATCATCCTTTGGCACATCCCCATTGGCGATTTCGCTGGCTGTGGTGTTAGCAGCAGAAGTAGTATTGGTGGCAGCCATGGTATGTGAGACCTTCACTTCTTCTAACTGCAACCAGGACATATACTTGGGGTAAGGCATTTAGATGACAGACAGACCATGAGAACGCAGATCAGAATGACCCGACGTCAAGCACAGTGTACAAACCTGTTTTAAACCCACATAACCAGAATCCATCTGACTCGTTCTCATTTGACTCAAATCCATTAGGTAGGGTTAATTAGTTTTTGCAAAGTTAACCTTTAGTATCGTAGATTTGACAGATGACAGAAAACCATCCAATTTCAACCCCACAGCCAATGAATCTGTTCAAACTTTAAACCCAACCTAAGAACTCACAAATCCAACCCTTTAGTCACCTCTAAGCAGAAGCAAATGGGAATAATTGGCTCTCAACACCATTTCCAAATTACAACACCATGGCCCTATATCTGGTAATGCTAACACACGAATTAGTTCTTGGATTGGGTTTGACAAACAAGCAAAGTCCATATATAAACTAGCTCATACAAAATGCAGATTGCTTGCCTAGATGTACATTGAAACAGTAAAGTATAGTGCAGCATGATTTTCTCATACATAAAAATGGATACCTCTTTGACAGTTACTTGATGAGTTGCTAGAAGCTCATTGTACTTGAGTTGCAGATCCGACATCTCAGCTTGTAGCTTCTCGTATTCGCACAAACTCGGCCCTCCCAACTTCTGTTGAATGAATCTGTAGGACACAAAGCAGCAAGTATTAAACAGGTCTATCCTACCATGTCCATATTCGTATACAAAAACTAGCTGCATCTGGATGCTCAAGTTCCTCGATGGCATAAAATTGCATATGAGAACAACAACAAAGGTCCAAAAACACACAGAGAAGTGGGCAAAACATGAACATATGAGAAGATTTCATCTAGCATTCTTTGTCAAGGGTAAAACCTAACTGGATCCCAGTGAAAATGGTGCTTAATCCACTGGAGAGATGCAAAAATTGAAGCTAGCGAGTACTCATTGATGATTCAATTTCACATAATTCGGCAGATCTGTAAGCAATATATATATATATATCATGCAGTTGGAAGTTGGTTCTAAGAAGAAGCTTGCTGCAGAAGTGGAAGAGAGAACTTACTCGAGAGCAGAGGAGGGCTTCTCATCTTGCTCGTACAATGCAACCAGAGCTACAGCCAGGCCAGCAACCCACAACAATTGGGGGAAAAGAAGATGATGAATGTGAAAACGAAGGAAGGAAACCCCCACCAGAAAACTGAAGGAAGAAGAGATCAAAGAACCTTTGGTAACGGTATCAACAACGCCACTGGATTCAAGGTACTTCCTGAAAGCTTCCTTCTTGGCCTCTTTCTCCTGCAATTTCCAGACCCAATTCAGGAATGCCGAGGAATCGGAGGATGGGGGAGAAGAACCCGGGGTGAAATTCATTAAGGAATCAGAATGCAGATTCGGTTTTTACTTTACCTCTTTGTAGCGCATCATGATCCACTGGCAGCAGCGGATGAGCAAAATCTTTTAGCGGTTGCTTGATTAGAAAAGGGAGAGACGGGGCACGGCGGGTTAGAGACTGCTCACCACTCTAACCAGTAGAACTGAAAAAATTACTACTTACATTTTAGTTCAGTATCATGTGTGAATTTACTTTACAAGATACTATCCAATGTAAAATAAGACAATACGCGGAAACGAAACAATCACACAAGACGCGATTTAACGTGGTTTCCCCGTTCGTAACTGAACGAGACTAGTCCACGGAGCTTGACGCTCAAAAGCAATTCACTAGGTTTTGTTCTCCCTTGGCTTAGCGTTTTCTACCAGCAGCCGATACAATATATATAGGTTCTGCCTTTCTCCTTTTCCAACAACGTGGAGAGGCAAAATTACAATAGGATCCCTATACTAATGAGAAAGTATAAAAGGATCACAACACTCCCCCTCAAGCGAAGGAGTGAATGTCAAGAAGTCCGAGCTTGACGAAGAGATTACGAAACTGTTCAACACTCAATCCCTTCGTGAACAAATCCGCTGGCTGATCCGCAGTAGCAATCTTTTGAGGAGCAATCTCATGAGACTGGACCCGTTCACGCACAAAGTGACAGTCCATCTCGACATGCTTCGTGCGCTCATGGAAGACCGGGTTAGCTGCAATGTTCAGTGCAGCTTGATTATCACAGAACAGAGGCGTGGGAGCAGAGGACGAAACTCCAAGATCCTGCAGAAGCCAGCGAAGCCAGATAATCTCACTGACCGTGCTAGCCATGGAACGGTACTCAGCATCAGCCGACGAACGAGCCACCACAGTCTGCTTCTTTGTCCGCCAAGAGACCGGTGAATTATCAAGCATAATAAAATAACCTGTGGTGGAACGACGAGTCAACGGGCAGCCACCCCAATCCGCGTCGCAAAAGGCCGTCAAACGGAGAGGGGCAGACGCAGAAAGAAATATCCCACGACCAGGAGCAGATTTTAAATACTGGAGAACACGAACGGCAGCATCCTCATGTGCTTTAGTCGGTGACTGCATGGCCTGACTAAGAAGGTTAACAGCATAGGTAATGTCCGGCCTAGTAACGGTGAGATATAAAAGACGTCCAACGAGCCGACGATAAGCACCCGGATCGGCGGCAGGAGGAGAAGGAAGTCGGCCTAACTGATGTTGCTGCTCAATAGGTGTAGAACACGGTCGAGCAGCCTCAAGTCCGGCACTAGCAAGAATGTCGAGTACATACTTGCGCTGATTAAGAACAAGACCACGAGGAGAGCGAGCAACTTCAATGCCCAAAAAATACTTTAACTGCCCAAGGTCCTTAATTGTGAACCGATCATGAAGAAAAGCCTTGACACGACTGATAAAACCCATGTCATTCCCAGTAATGATGACATCATCCACGTAGATAAGAGCAACCACGGAGATGTCACCACGACGATAAGTGAACAGAGCATGGTCGACACGGCTCTGAACAAAATTAAGCTCGAGGAGTGCCCGAGTAAACTTCTGGTACCAGTTACGAGAAGCTTGTCGCAAACCATAGATAGATTTGTGTAAACGACACACCCGAGTATCACCGGGAAGACCAAAACCTTGAGGAAGAGCCATGTAGACTTCCTCATCCAGATCACCGTGGAGGAAAGCGTTATTGACATCCAATTGATGGATATGCCAACCCCGAGTGACAGCAACAGTCAGTAGGCAGCGAACCGTAACCAACTTGGCTACAGGAGCGAAAGTGTCATGATAGTCAACACCCTCGATCTGAGTGAACCCCTTTGCAACCAACCTCGCTTTGTAGCGCTCTACAGAACCATCTAGACGAAACTTTATTTTAAAAACCCATTTGCACGCAATAGCTTTCTTGTGCAACGACAACTGAACAAGAGACCATGTCCCGTTGGCAATGAGGGCATCGATCTCCCTTTGCATTGCCTCCCTCCAATGTTTGTGACGTACAGCTTGGAAAAAGTGTGTGGGTTCCTCTTCGGCACTCAAAGCAGCAACAAAGGCATGATGAGCTTGAGACAACCTATCATAGGTGAGATAATCTTCAAGTGGGAACTTAACACTAGCCGTGTTAGCTGCTCCGGGAAGCTGGACGTCGTAATCACGGAGGCGGGTGGAAGGGACTCGCACGCGATCACTACGGCGGGGCTCCACTGGCTGAACTGAAGGAACGGAAATGGGAGCCCCAGGCAATTCAGACGAGACCGAAGCATTACCTGGTGATGGTGATGCGTTGGACGTAGGAGCAGAAATGGTCTCGGTTTGCTGTGGCCGAGAAGGACTGGGCGGGGCATTTTGCCCCTGCATTGGCCCGCCACGAAGAGGAGATGTGGGCGGAGATACCTGCTCCTGGGAACCATTATGATCAGGCGGCTGTTGTACCTGGGGTTCAGTAGTGATGTCTTGAGAAGAAAAAGATGGCAGCAAGTCATCATGAGCTGGCGGGGTAATTCCAAAAGAAGGCAGGGAAACTTGTGCAGGTGTGGGGACTTGCCATCTTCCATGTCACGATAAGGAAAAATGCCTTCAAGGAATTGAACATCCCGCGATGTATAGACAGTATGTGACTCAAGATCGTACACACGATACCCACGTTGAGAGGATGGATACCCAAGAAAAATGCCGGCGCGCCCACGTGCACCGAACTTGTGCAAGTTCTTGTGGTTGTCTTTAGCATAAACCAAGCACCCAAAGCTGCGAAGATGATCATATTTGGGATCTTTGTCAAAGATCAGCTGAAAAGGAGATCGATTCCCAATAGGAACCAGTGGCATTCGATTAATAAGATATGATGCCGTCATGACACATTCGCCCCAAAACTTGAGTGGCAAATTTGCATGAAATCGAAGTGCCCTTGCAGACTCCAATAAATGTCGATGCTTTCTTCCCACCACTCCATTCTGCTGCGGTGTGTCGGTACACGATGTCTGCAGTATAATACCTTCCTGTTCATAGTAATATGTGAGGAGATTTGTAGCAAACTCCGGCCCATTATCAGCTTGGATTCGTTTAACCTGTTTCCCAAACTGAGTGCGAACCATGTTGCAGAAATAGATTAAATGACGCCCAACATCTTATTTATAACGCAGTAAGAAAACCCAGACTGCACGACTAAAGTCATCGACGACAGTCAGAAAATAATGTGCCCCTGTGTTAGAAGCAGTCTTGTAACTACCCCAAATGTCAACATGAACCAATTCAAAACAAGTCTTAGTCTTAATCGAACTAAGAGAAAAAGATTCACGAGTCTGTTTAGCCCGCAAACACGACCGAAAAGGCTCCTTATTTTGAATAAAAGAACAATCTAGTGTTTTCTCCAAACAACTCATCTTCGCCAAAGATGGATGCCCAAGCCTTGCGTGCCATAGCTCCGAATGATCCAAAGAACGCCGAACAGAGTGTGCTACGACATGATTAGCTTCGAGTATCCTGAGATAGTATAATCCATCGACATGCTTACCCATCCCAATCAGCCTCCTGGATGGTAAGTCCTGAATTACACAGAAATCACTTAAGAATATCAACGCTACCGGAAGATCTGCTGTAAGACGACTGACTGACAATAAGTTGCACTGAAAATCTGGGACGTGTAAAACTCGGCGCAATAACAACTCATGAGATAAACTAGATGTCCCAATGCTGTGAACTCTAACACCTGTTCCATTCGGAATCTTAACCTGCAGATTAGGAGAGGAGTCCGTCTCGGAATCCAATAGAGAAGCCTAGTTAACAATATGTTCATTGCAACCAGAATCGATAACCCAACTCGCAGAGTGAGTCGAAAACGTACCTGCCATATTTGATGCCGGTTCAGCCGCGGATTGCTTGAAATCGGCATTCAAAAGTTGCTTCAGTTGGGCTATTTGTTGAGCCGACAGGCCGAGAAGTGACCCTTCAGCGGAGTCCACCTGAGCTGCCTGCGGGGAAGACCTAGGACCACGCTCATGTCTTCTTTTCCCTTGCTCCTTTCCATCGTCCCTTTTTGGAGGAAAACCATTTAGCCTATAACAAGTTTCCCTCACATGGCCTGTTCTCTGGCAGTAGGTACACTTGAGCTTCCCATCAGCATCGCGCGGTCGTCCATCACCATCATAATCCTTCTCCCTTTCACGTTCACCCGACGCGCCCCAGCGATCAGACTTTTTCTCCCCCTGAGCTTGAAATACAGCCGCTTCAGAACGAGGACGACGACTCCCAGCCATTTGACGCTGTTGCTCGTCGTTGGTAACTAGCTGGTATGCCTCAGCAAGAGTGGGAATGGGGCGCATAGCCAGGATCTGTGATTTGACAGTGGAGAATACGTCGTCCAATCCCATGAGAAAATCGAACAACCGCTCCCCCTCACGAACTTCGTGATGACGCCTCTTGACATCACAATGACAACCTGAACAAGTACATTCCAGGTTCGGTGTAAGGGAACTAATCTCGTCCCAAAACCCACGTAACTTCGTGTAAAAAGCAGAAACGGACATCTTCTCCTACTGTAACCAACCAATGGACCGCTTCAGTTCGTAGAAACGGGACGCACTCCCTTGCCCGAAACGACCTTGAAGGTCTACCCATATCTCCCGCGCTGTCGACACAAAGCGGACGCTGCTACGGACCTCCTTGGACATGGCGGTCTTCAACCACCCCTTCACCATCGCGTTGCAGCGTTTGTAGGCTTCCCTCTCGGCTTGGGTTGTGGGAGCAGGAAGCGTTCCATCGACAAAGCAAAGTTTGTCCTTGGCTATGAGAGAATCCGAAATATCCCCTACCCATTCTCCGTAGTTGCTGTCTGTGAGTAATTCTCCTACGAAGAGATTGATGGGGCTATCGGAACGGCACAGCTGTAAGTGAGACGGCAAGATAGGCTGCTGATCGCCTGAAGATTCAACGGTTACCTTCGACGAGGACTTACCCCCCGATTCATCATCTGAACGCATGGCTGGAAATCAATGGATCTCAGCACAACTCTGATACCATGTAAAATAAGACAATACGCGGAAACGAAACAATCACACAAGACGCGATTTAATGTGGTTTCCTCGTTCGTAACTGAACGAGACTAGTCCACGGAGCTTGACGCTCAAAAGCAATTCACTAGGTTTTGTTCTCCCTTGGCTTAGGGTTTTCTACCAGCAGCCGATACAATATATATAGGTTCTGCCTTTCTCCTTTTCCAGCAACGTGGAGAGGCAAAATTACAATAGGATCCCTATACTAATGAGAAAGTATAAAAGGATCACAACATCCAAGATTCAAGCCTGCAGACATG